CCGGGCGCCCTCCCGCGCGGCCGCCATCTTGGCGAGGGGCCGAGCCAGCCCCTTCCCCAGCTCCGCCAGGCGACTGCGAGTCAGGCGCGGGGTCAGGGCCCCAGCTCCGTCCGTCACGCCCCGGACTCGGCCGCTCCGGCGGTGACTTTCTGCGCGTCACACAGTGCAGCCATTCACGGCGACCTTCACGCTTGGGACCTGGCCAACGCACGTGGTGACGGACCCCAGCAGTGTCACAGTGTTAGCCACTCACGTGTGTGCAGCCCTCGTACTGGACACACCCATTCACTGTCACGGTCACAGTCAGGTTTCGGCTACCGAGTGCGTGGCTCACACACACACACACACGCGCGCGGGATAAAGTCGCCCGCACAGCGCCATTCTCCGGGCTAGTCCCGTCGGGTCAGTGCCGCTCGCCCTCCGTGCGGCCCTGGGGCGCCCCAGGGGCGCTGTCCCGTCTTCCTCAGGACGCAGAAACAGGTCCTCTGGAGCCTGGCTCTCAGCCTCGACTGAATACACTTACCTGGGAGTTTTAAAAACGACCAGTGTCCGGGCCGCGCCCCCGATTCGGCTGGTCTGGAGCAGAGCTTAAGCATCGACATGACTGGAAAGCTCCGCAGACTCGGCGCGTCGTGAGGGCTGAGCCCCTGCCGCCGACGCGGGGCTGCGGAGGGAAGGTCGGCTGCGGGGGACCCTGAGGAGGGCGCCTGAGCTCCACCGAGGCGGGGAAAGTAGACGCGAATGTTAAATGGCGACGCTCTTCAGGGAAACGGAACAGTGAGGGGCTTCCCAAGCAAGGGGGAGCGAGAGGGAACAGCTCCCGGGACGGGACCGGCCTCGGCAAAGCCTGGGCGCGACCGCCCTTCTTAGGGAGCCCAGCGAGCCCGCGGGGCCGAGCGCGTGCGGGCAGCTGCGTGGAGGACGAGAGCGTACCTGCGGGAGGAAAGCCCTCAGGGAGTTTTAGGGAGGGCGGGCAGCGGGGTCAGGGGTGTGTTAGGAGAATCGTGCGCGCGACTTGGAGAACGGCCGGGAGGAGAAAGGAGTGGAAGCAGAGAGGCCAGTAAGGAAGCTGTTAGCAGGACTTTGGTAGGATGATGGCTGCCTAAGGGGGGAGGGGGGTGAAGATCTCCAAGATGGGAGACTGGATAGGCGGTTGGAGGTGTGGGGGGGAGGGATCAGGGATGACCCCCAGTTGCTGACGGCTTTGATTCAGGGGTGCGTGGCAGGGCCTGTCCCTGAGATAGGGACACTGAGGGAGGGGAAGGTGCAAGGAGGAAGGCGATACATTCTGGCTCAAACACGGAGAGGTTGGGGTGCGGGTAGGTGTTCTAATTGTGTTTTCTTAGGGTCTGTATTTGTCATTTTGGCATCCATGAATCACAAAGCCAGACTGATGGCCAAAATTGTTTATATCTCCCCTGCTATATGGAGTCTATACTCTGAGCAACTTCCTTCATTTAACTCTCACACACTAGGCCAGTATTCCCCCTCTCCTAAATCAACACAGGGCCAGGTACTAGACAACTAGGGACAGCTCCTAGCCTCCTAAATCCACCAGAAATATTCAAAGTAGCCAATCCTGAGGTGTTTACCCTGCCCTACCTTGCCTTTCCCGATTAATAAAGGCTGTGGCCTACATCTCCTTCCGTCTGCCTTCTGGCCTACCTTGGTGCTCCCGGCGGTGGTCCTGTGGGCGAGCTACGCCTCTTGTTTCTAGGGGAACTGTAACAGTAAACTTCTTTCCATGGCATTCACCTCTTGTGTTGTCACTTAAGAATTAAGATCCAGGCACAAATCCGTAGGCTGTTCAATTTCTAAAGTGGTCTGGGACTTGGAGATTGGAATTTGAGATTTGGTAGTCATCAACATTTAGATAATATATTAGTTTGCAGGGTTGCCATAACAAAGTACCACAAACTGGGTATCTTAAACAACAAAACTTTATTATCTCCCAATTCTGGAGACTAGAAGTCCAAGATCAAGGTGTCAGCAGGATTGGTTTCTTCTGAGAGCCGTGAGAAAGAATCTGCCCCATGCCTCTCCTCTAGTTTCTGATGTTTTGCTGGCAATCTTTGGCATTCCTTGGCATGTAGAAGCTTCACCTCAATCTCTGCCTGTATCTTTACATGTTGTTCTGTGTGTGTGTGTGTGTGCGTGTGTCCATAAATTTATATGGGTACCAGTCGTATTAGATTAGGAACCCACCCTACTCCTGTATGACGTCATCTTCACTAATTATATCTGCAGTAACTCTACCTCTAAAGGTCACATTCTGAGGCATTAGGCTCAGGACTTCAACATACAAAATTTTAAGGGATGCAATTCAACCCATAATACAGAGCACTGGAAGCTACATGATCGGATGAACACATGAACAGATAGGGAGTGAGGAAAGAGCCCAGAGAAATCTGAAGCACAAAGAAACTGATAAGAAATGACTCTACAGAGAGATGGTGTTGCCAAAACCAACGGGGGCTGTGACCCCAGGAAAGAGCACACGATGACCTTGATGAGAGCGGGTTTGTTGTGATGGATGCTGATGGGAAGCAGCTGATGGAGAGGGAGAAGATTCCAGAGAGGTAAGAAGTCATTTATTCAAAGAACTAAGTCCTTGGGTGAGGAGGTAGTCTGGAGCCTTGGTGGAGGAACTGACCACTGTGCCAAAAGTTGGTGACACTCCATTTTGACCGCAAAGCTACAGCCACACACTGCAATGCTCTGTGCTGGCAAACAACTGCCACCATCACCCTTAAGATGATACTCTTCCCAGACTCCCCTCCATGCCTCATATGGAGCCACTTCTCAGTGATGTGCACAGTCACAGTCACACAGGGACACCGGCACTGGACGTGGGCAGTCACAGCTGCCACTTGCGTATCTCAAGCTATTCAGGAAGCGTTCACCCAGATACCGTAACATACATGCCACTAATACCCTCCTGTGCCATCACACACCAGGCAGGCAGTCACACGTGGCCGGACTCTTTCAAGCCCACGCTGTCACACTGGGCACACGGTCACACAAAATAACCCCCCTGTATCACAAGTTCCTCGGACACGCAGCCACATAACACCAGTCACAATCACATTCTATCTTGTCGCACACATCTGGGTCCCTGCAGGCAGTGGCCCCCGCAGCATCGCCAGGGCTAAACATGCTTCCGATGCAGAGCATCCCCACCTGTCTGTCTCTCTGTCTCTGTCTGTGTCACACACACGCACACACACACACACACACACACACGCACCCGCACACACGCCCTCTCGGGGAGGGGGAGGGGAGACTGGCGGAGGCTGCCGGGGCCCAGCGGGCGGGCGCCCTGCCCTCGGGCTGGCGATCAG